CCGGGGAGCTGGGAGCTCTGCGTGGACGGGCCGGGCCGCGGGCACCCCCAGGATGGCACCGCACCCTCCCTTGGAGATGTCCAGCCTCGGAGAAGAGGGGACCAGCAGCGAAGCGGGAGCTGTGAACCATTCCTAACAACCCGTGAGGGACGGCCGCGTGCCAGGCCAACAGATACAGGGTGGGTGAGGGGCGGTTAAAAAGTGTAACAAGGGCAGGGCCCCCTCCCTAGAGGGCACGTGTTACACATTAAGGCATCATGGTTACAGGGAACATCCACGAATGAAGCTGCCAGTGTCCCCAGGACACCGACTGCATGGAAGGGGCAGGCCAGTCATGATTCTAGCCAAAAAGGTTCAGTGGCTGCCTGGCACCAAAGCTCCCCAGCCACCTGGCGTGCCAGCTACCCTGAGCTGTGCACAGGGAGTTAGGAACATCCCCGATCTGCTTCCTACGCGGGGTGGGACAGGGGGGTCTCTCCCCTCGGCACCTCCTGGAGCAGAGGAAGGTGAGAAGCAGCAAAGGGCTGGGCAAGGGAGCGAGCGCTCCCACCTCTGCCCCGGGGCATCTCAGCCCTGCGCCGGCAGCTGGAGGCCGGATGCAGCCAGCCACGTTTGGCCAATTCTGTTCAGTGATTCTCTGGGGAGGGGGCACGTTACAAAACAGCTCTGTGGACAACTTAAAATGGAGAGGGGAGTGAAAGGGAAGAGGGTTCCAATGTCAGCACTTTGGTACAGGGAAGGGTTTCTACGGTAGCCACTGTCTGATTCGCGCTCTCTGGGGATTGGCCTCGGGAAGGGCTAGTCCTACCAATCCTTCTTAATGGTCAGGTTCCACTCCCAGGACAGGTGGTCCGTCTTATCATCGTCTGTGAATTTGGATTTGATGTTGTAGCTGCCGCGGGCCAGCATGCCCTTCGGAGCCTCTTCCATGGGGGTCAGAAACTCGTACTCTTCCGCTCGGGGGCCGTAGCTCCCAACCATGTATTCAGTCTTGTCAACTAGAAGGAGAAAGAGGTAGGTGGAAACTGCAAGAGCCTCCCCTGCATTTGGGGCAAGACTAAAGCACACGGAAGGGCCGTTACTGCCAGCAACCCGTAACAACATGCAGACCCTGTGAGAACAAGCCCATCCCCACTTACTTTTCACTCCTTTTCGGAACGTGTGCTGGATATATTTCAACCCTGACACGATCTCCCTGTTCACCTGTGGGGAGACAAACAAGGGCTGTAGGAACAGAGGGACCCTCACACAGCCCCCCGCCACAAGACACAATTTCCATCACCCCACCACAGTCCGTGTGCCCAGGCATTCCCTGTGCTGGAACTGCAACAATCGGACGTTCCAAAGTTCATTGGTTCTTCACTTTTCAGACCTGAATTCTTACCTTAAAGGAGATTTTTATCCGGTATTCCACACCCTCCTTCAGCACAAACGCTTGCTTTTTGTAGCTCTCCAGGTCACCTGGAAGGAAGAAAGAGTCCAGAGTCCAGCAGAGGGATTCAGCTTACAAGGGGGCATTACAGCAGGGCCTGCAATGGCAAGGGGTGGGCCTGCCCCTTACTGCCATTTCTCCCATTTATTCTCCCATTTTTGCCCAGACTCCCCTTGCTTCCCGAGACAGGCAGAGGATGCTGTGAAAGAACCACCCCATCACACAGCGCCGCCGCGAGCCGGAGCGCAACCCCGGAGCGGCCGCAGGACGCTGGCTCCCCCGCTGGCAGCTTGGGCGGCTACAAAACAGCATGGAGGCAGAAAGGGCTTTACCAAGGCGGGGACACCCAAGTCCTGGAACCCTTTGGTGGCCCGAGCGCCCTCCCTTTGACACAGAAGGAAGCTCGGCTGCCACCCCGCAGCGCTCCCGCGGGACCTTCCGAAGACTCCGCATCGCGTCAGCCTCGGCCAGGAGGAAGGGCTGGTGTTCCTGCACAGCTCACCTCTCAGGTCCAGCTCCAGAGGGCCAGGAGGAGCAGTTGTACAGACCAGAGTTAGTTTGGTCACCACCACATTTGGAGCATTAGGATCTAGCAGACAAATAAAAAGTCTATTAAAAACCCATCCCCAGTGCCAGCCCACACAGTTGCTCACTGTTCCTTCCAGGGCAGCTTTGGAAAAAGCAGGGACCTCAGTGAGGACAACACTCAGCTCAGCAGAGGTCCGGGCTTCCCCTTGTGCTGTATCCAGCACGTAGTCCCCTCCATTCCAGGACAGCTCCCTCCCACCCAAATCCCGTGACATAATTGACAGGGCCAGGGATTGAGCGCTGGAGGAGGACGGGCCAGGGCCTCCGAGCTCCCGGCTGCGCTCGTGCCCATGGGCAGAGCTGGGAAGAGAACAGCTCCCAGCAGGGACAAGGCTGGAGCGGGCAGACAGAGCTGTGGCTCCTGCCAGCCCCGGGGCTCACCTGCGGTCACAGTGACGGCACCGAGCAGCGCCTCCTTGTACTTGCGCAGACTCTCATCATCCTTGTCCAGCTCCTGGATCTCCTGGATGCTCTTCTGGGCAGGCGGCTTATAGTTGACCGAGTGTTCATCCTCCTCGTTCTCAGCTGCAATCTGGGCCAGCTGCTCCGCCGTTGGCTCCTGCTCTGCCATCTCCACGTGCACAAGTTACACTGAAGCAGGGGAGAGAAGCGGAACTGCATGGGCCTCCTCCCGGCAGCGCGGTCCCCTGCACAGGCAGGGCCTGCCCAGGGCCTCGTGCCCAGCTCCACAGCTCGCTCTCACTCCTGGAGCCTGCAGGGCCACCTGCCACCAAGGGCCCCTACCCGCCACCCACAAAAACTCCAGCAGATCACATCACATTCAGCCCATCCAGACCCATGCATGAGGATGGGAAAAATCCAACCTCCACAGTGTGTTCACAAGTTACTGCAGGTTAGTGTCCCAAGGCAGAGAGGAAACACTACCCTTCCAACACCAAAACAGCAGGCTGGAGCTTCCCCTCGTAACAGAGCTGAGCCCAGAATAACCCCGGGTCAGTTCTGCTTCCCTACAACACACGGGTCCCGCTAAGAATAGGCCAAGCCGCAGCCAGCCCGGCCGTTCACAGCTTGGAAAGCAGGGAGGCCAATCCGCTCCGTGCCGGATGCCTCCGAGGGGACGGATGAGGCACCTGGCTCAGCCGATTCCATGCTCAGATCTTTCCAAAGGTCTGTGTCACACCAGGCCAGTGAAACTCAGCTAGTGGATTAAAAACATTCGTGTCGCTTGGCTCGGCCGCTCAAGTCCCCAGATGCACTCGAACAAGGAAAAAAGCAGCTGCGTATGAAGGGCAGGTGAAAGGTGATGCCAACACCCCATTAAAGACATAGGTTAAAGCCAACAGTATTCCTGAATAACTCTTCACGTTGCCCTGGGCATGCCATCCCAAGGGTCACCCTATGGCAAACACCAACTGCTCCACAGACTTCACAACCTCTCTGGATGACAACAGCTTCTGAGAGGCTTTTTGTACAAGCAACATCCTTCACAAACAATGTTTCTATCATCCCCTGGCATTCCCGTATCCCATCCACTTTTTCCTACCTCAAATTTGCACTGGCATACACAGCTCTAACAGACTGAAAACTGCATTATCTTCTTGCATCTGGCTTCCAAATAAAGCGAAACCTACAACATTCACTACACACAACACACGCAATATTCAAACATGAGCTTACAATCTAGATGCACTTCCAAAAATGCAAAAATACATCTAGAAATGGCAATGTGCTAAAGAACGGCTAAGTCCACAACTAAAGCCTGTCACACAGGACACACTAAGCTAAGCACCACCTCTGAACTACCGACACAATAAAGCCCAGCTCAGTTATTCCTTCTGTGTTCCGCGTGCCACCCAGAGGAGGAAGGACAAGGCTCGGGGCTGCCACCAAGCGCACGGTTTGCGCAGCGCACGCTGCGGTGCCGCAAGGCGGGCGACGCAGCTGCTGCAGCCAGGCTGACTCCATCTCCAGCCCGAGTCCAGCAACAGCAGAAGGGTGGAGGGGCCACCCAGGCTGCACTAATATTTTCAGCCTTAAGTTTTGTGAACATTTTGTTAGGGAACTAAACAAAGCAAAGCTTTGCACATCTCCACTGGAGGAGAAGACTACAGCAGACATTCAAATGGAAAAACAAAACCAAAACCTGACGACTATTTCTGCCAAGTTTTTGGGGCTGAGCACTCCTGGGGAGGCGCCGCTTTACGGCTGGACTCGATGATCCTGAAGATCTTTCCCAAGCACGACGGTTCCAGGACCAAGCGCTGCCGTGGGCAGAGCGGCCGTGTGGCGCCCGCTGCAGACGGGAGCACCGGGCGACCGGGACCGCCTGCGAGGGGGCCCTGGTGCCGCCCCCGGACGGCGTCTCCAGGCTCTGCAGGACTCGCCAGGGACACACTCCATGACTGGCCCTCCCAGCTGGCTCCGAGTTCCACCGCCCTCACGGCCAGCTGGTTGATTTTGCTCGGGGGGGATTTCTCAGTGCTGGCTGGGTCTGCATCACCAGACAAGCGAAGAAGGGAAGGGGCGCAGTGCACCCTGTTTCCTAAAGGGGCTCTGGCCCTGGGCGGGTGTGAGGGTGCCCGTGCCGGGAGCTCCTCCCGCTTCCCTCCACTGCTAACCCGCATGGAGCGGGACACTGCACTGCGAGCGAATGCCTTCCTGCAAGGACCGGCCAAAACCCCTGCAGGGAGCAGCAAAGAAATGTACATGCAGAGGATCATTTTATCTTGCACCCTGTGTGCAACAGATGGGCAGATTTCGCCCTGGTACGCCCACATCGAACACAGTCCCTTGCTTTGGCCTCGTCTCCACAAACTCTGCTGGCCTTGAAGCCTGCTGGGCTGGGAAGCACAGGTTTGCTCGAGCATCCGTTCGAGTGTTCGGCTCCCTCTGCCGTGCCTCCAGGCCCGGCTGCCCTCCAGACCTGGCAGCTTGGGCTCTCTGCACACACCGAGGAACTCGGGGACATTCCTCCTCCCACACCTGCAGCCTTCTGGACACAGAAGTGGGTGATGAGCACTGAGGGCCTCAGAGAACAGGAGTCTCAAGCCACTGAGTGCTCCTGACTCCCAAACTCTCTATTATGACGGAGCCCCTTTAACGGGGATGCAAATAAAGGCAGCTGCAGCGCTTGAATTCACTTCCCAGAGCCAAGCGCACGTGCCGGCGTCCGCACACCGCGGGGAATCCTCCTCGCTCCGCGCTGTTGGCGCTCCTCAGGCTACAGCTGTCCCTCCCTGCAAGGGCTGCCCTGTCCCGGCACAGCAACACGTTGTCCCCCACCTCGCGGCGTAACGGACGGGGCGGCACTTCCCTCCCAGCACCCAGACAGCACCGGCTCCGTTGCAGGAACCCTCCTCACAAACGGATTTTTAGCAACAACTGTGCCTTAAATGGCGCAGAGAAGACAAACAGAGCCTCGCGGTTCTTTGCTTTGCCTCCAACCTTAATTCTGTGAATAAAAGCTAAAGAAACCTTCGTGACTTGTGGGGACTGGGGTGCTTCTTAGTTAATCTGCACGTGACCTTACAAACCACAGGAGCCCCCCAAGACAGCAGCTAGCGCTTCGAGCTAGACCAAAACCAGCTGGGAAGGTGAGAGATGGCGCAGCCAGCCGTGCCGGCCAGGAAAGGGCGCCGCTCTCACGGAGGGCTGCAAAAACATCACTCCAGCCCTTCCACGCAGCTTTCCCAAGCGCAGCGGCCAGGAGCGCGAGGCCGGCGCTGCCGCGGAGCTGAGCGCAGCGGAGCCGGCTGGGGCGGCCCGACGCTCCCGCCAGGAGCTCCGCGGCTCCTCCCTGCGTTTCATAACCTCGGGTCACGGCTCCTCAGCTGCTTCTCCGAGCACTGAGCCAGACAGGAAGGAGACTCCCAACAGCACAAAACTTTTCCAAGCTCTGCAGCCTCGCCCCTTCGGGCTCTTCACACAGAGCGTTTCTCTCGGCTCAGAATTAGTAAAGCAGAGCTCCCCGGGTGCATGAAAGCCCGGCAGCAGAGCACCACACAAAACAAAGTCCGAGGAGTCCTGGGGAGAGGGGCACCACGTCCCCTTCCCGCACGGCTCGCCGCAGAGAGGCGAAAACGCCGCTGACGGGACCTGCGACGCCAGGTCCTTCCGAGCACCCGGCTCCATCTTAACAAAGGCCGCTCCGAGGCCCTGCAGCTGGATGTGGCAACCTGTTAACTCAGGAATTTGAAGCTAAGGCGTCGCCCCAGGGTCCCTGGAAAGGAATTCCTCTGCAGCTGCTTGAGAGCCTCGGGAGATAGTCACGTTCCCTGCTCCTGCGCCCTTCCCCACCAGCAGCTCCTCAAACACACCCGACTCGCGGCGTCCAAGACGGTGCCTCCGCGGCAGCCGCTGCTCCGCCACGCGCAGCCCCTTCCCACCGGCCTGGGCACTGCGCGAGCGCCCAGGGGATGCCCGGCCTGCCCAGGCCTGAAAGCCAGTGACAACGACCAGGCTCCAAGAGAGCCCCAGAGGCTGCTCAGGCCTTCGGAGCCCTCGCGAGCCTGAAGCAGTTCCCACCACAGGATTCTTATTCAGCAGCCTTCGCTGCTCCCTGGAGTCAGCAGTTTTTCCTGGATCCCCTCGTATTCCCACAGAGCAGAAGCAAGGAGGTGGCAGCATGGGGGGGCGTGAGCCCCACCTCCTGCCAGCTGGAAAAACTGCTGGGAATATTTCCCCCAGCCTGGTGTCACACAGGCCACAGCAAACAGCAACTTCTTCATGCCCTGGGGTCAGGATCCCAAGGCGCCAGGGAATCCAAAGCTCGTCAGAGCCCTCCAGAGAAGCCGCCCCTGAGGCCATCGAGCAGCCACCACCACGTGTGGAAGCAGCACCAAGCGGGCCCAGCCTTCCTCCTTCCCCTGTTGTGCCGGGGGGCCCGCAAGCGCGGGGGGAACCGATACAGCCAGGAACCGGTTCTGACAGGTTCGTTTCTCACCAAATCACTTCCCTGATCCAGCTCATTAAACTGCCGCAGAGCTGCGAACACAGGGAGCACAACCCACATAACCCAGCCCGGGCGGCACTTCCGCAGCACGCGCGGAGCAGGAGCCGAGGCCGGGCCGGGAGCACCCTGGGCTCGGCGCGGCTCCGAGGCACCTCACCGGTCGGAAAGGGAAATAACGACTCGCTGCCAGGGCCCGGGAGCGCGTCCCACGCTCGGACAGCGGCTCCCGGGAACTCGGCGGCGGGAG